TATTATCATTATTTTTTTTAGGTCTGGTTTCAAAATAGACGAGCAAAATGGAGACGACAAGAAAAATTGGAAAGTCAAAACGCGTTACGGACATTGGGTAGTCACGTGACTTCAGATTATTCGGGAGCATCCTCCAATCTTCCAAGGTCTCAATCACCGACTCCAGGAATTTCTCCGTCTCTCGGTACTTGCTCTCCAGCATCGACCAGTCCATCTGGTCCATTGACTCTAGATCCTTGGATCACATCTCCTCTGCTCGGTTCTTCGTTGACAGGATTGCCAGGATTCTTAGCTCATCCTCATACCGTATATCCCAGTTATCTGACACCCGCCGCTCCCACATCACTCGCGTTATCCGGAGGGCTCAATGGACTTTTGCCCAATTCTTCGGTTACGACAGCGGCATTGGATCCATCTAGTCCACTAAATCTTTCGGTAGCCTCCAACGAGAAATTGGCGGAAGATCCTCGAAGCTCGAGCATCGTTGCTTTGAGGATGAAAGCTAAAGAACATGTTGAACTGATTAACAAAGGATATGCCCTAGTGTAGATATTACCCTATCCATTAAAAAAAACAAAATAGGAATGTAAAATTTCTCATCTCGCGTATCATATGTTTTCGCGGATCCCCTGGTAGTTCCCATGTTTTGTTTCTATATTTTGACCAAGTCATATTAAAATAGATATGAAATTTATTCATTGTAAGCTTGGTTATTTAATAACGCGTAGGCAACACCATCATTAATAGTAATCTGGGGTGGAGTTGACTATCTTTGACGTTATCTGAAAGATTTGAATCTACAAGAATTACATGCAAATCCACTGAGATTCCTTGATTATTATTCTCTAGTCTGAAATTATTATTGCCCCTGTACGTCAGGCACGCCTGTATAATACTAAAATCTTACAGGAAAGATTGATTTACAGGGGCGCTAAAATGTTACTGTATCAGTGTAAATTTATTCTCTAGCATAAAATATAGTTGAGATTTGTGTAATTTATTAGTTTATACGTAAAAGAAAACCTTTAATATCATTTATACGTATAAAAATATTTCTTCTCTTTAACTTCACACTCCGTTTAATCTGGAATTTCGAACGAATAAAATGTTTTCTGCGTATGTGGACGTGTACAAAATAGAACCACCGAGATATAATTAAAGTACTATGTTTTAATTAGTCTACTTTAGTGCTCGACTATTCAATTTTCCCAGAATTGACGAGGTAATGCTTTTTATTTGTTATTACAACAAATAGGCTAATGAGTTCATTATATATTTATAACATTCATTATTTAAAACTTTGATGAGTTATGATTAAACTGGGACTTTTAACTCTGATATTTTAATTTGTTTTCCTACAACTTTTATACAGTTTACAAATAACTAAATTCGTGATTTATAATGCTTTTCAATGGTAAAATAACACGGTAATTTATTTGTATTATGATAACATTTTCACACCATTTTTTTCTGATATATTTTCCACCGTT